TGTGTGTGTGTGCATGTATATATATGCATATATGTATATGTAGTGGTCTCCTAGCTGGATGGTTAGGAGACCACTATCGGATAGTCCGATACAGTAACCCATTATAGAGGCGAGGAAGCTGAGGCATAAGGAGTTAATCTGCCCCAGAAAATCTAGTAACAGAATCTGATTGTCTTTTTGTTATTGTTAATCCTCACCTGAGGATATTTTTCCCATTGATTTTTAGAAGGGGGGGGCAGAAAAATTGGGGCCAGAGATCAAACCTGCAACCCAGGTACATGCCCTGGACTGGGAATCAAACCCAAGACCCTTCGGTGTGTGGGCCGATGCTCTAACCACTGAGTACACTGGCCAAGGCTGGAATCTGGTTGTCTTAACCATCCAGCTAGGAGACCACTACATATACATATATGCATATATATACATGCACACACACACATATATACATGCAGTCACGTGCTGCATAACTACATTTCATTCAACAGGGGTCTGTGTATANCACACACACACATATATACATGCAGTCACGTGCTGCATAACTACATTTCATTCAACAGGGGTCTGCGTATATGATGGTGGTGTACCACATAGCTTAGGCTCTGCTATCTAGGTTTGTGTACGTACACTCCATAATGTTTGCACACACACGTATACACGTGTGTGAATGATTTTATATATAGTTTTTACATAATTGCATAAATGTGCTTTAACATGGTTTTAAATTTTCCTTTTACATCTTTATACTTTTTCCTCCCCCCACCACGGAATTCAAGTTATCATCCTCATGTGCAATCTTCTATATTTATTTACAATTATACATGGACTTATATATACCGATACCTATGACTACATGTACATATATAAGGTTCCTTTTGTTGTTATTTTAAAATAGTAGATTATATTAAATAAATAAATTTGATATTTCTCTTTTCTCACTCAGTTATACCTGGAAGCCCCTGGAAGACCCAATTCATTGTTTTTAACAGTCACACATTAGTCCACCCACCATGTCTCTCACCTGGCCGTCCCGCTCATTGTTACCTTCTAGAGTCCCATCCCCAGCCCCAATGTGCTTATTTAATCCATTAGGAAGTCTGATGGCGGGAATTCTGGCCAGGTGAGAGGAAACGCCAGTGAGAAGGCAGTAAATGGCAGTTCTGGCTGGGTCTTGCCCATCCTCTGGCCCGCGGCCAGCAGCCCTCAGCCCCCAGAGGCAGGAATGCTGACTGCATTATTGTGAAATCATTTGTATATTGTGAAGTGCTTTGCATATGATGGAGTGATTTGCATACAGGGCGGAGAGGGGGAGCATCTTAAGAGATCCCAGAGCAGCATCCCTGAGTGTCTTCTCTCTTTGCAAAGAAACCGCCCACGGCTTCCACTTCAGAACTCAGGGAGGGGCACAGGAGGGTATCCTGGCTGACCTATGGGCTTGGGGGAGTGAGGCAGACCCAGGTCTTTCAGAGGAAGGTTGATCCCACCTGGAAGGAGCTGGGAGTCGGGGCACTGGAGTGTGCCCTCGGAGCCCCAAGAAGGGGAGAGCGACTCGGGACAGACGAAGGGAGCTATCATGGCAGGCAGATGAGGGTCAGAGGCTTGGAGTACCCCACCCTGTCACAATCTCTGCCCAAGTAAGTACCCACATACCCCTTCCTGAACAGTCTACAGACCTGGCTGATTCCCAGAGAAGGATGCAGAGTGGAAACGCCAAGCCAGGCTCCCACACCCTCGAAGTGAGAGGTGCTGTCCCATGCTCTGGGCTCGGGGACACCCAGGTTTGAATCCTGGCTCCGCCCCCGGTTCCGTTGTTTCACCTGGGCTGACGCACCCCCCTAACGGGATAAACAAGGATTCAGTGAGAATGCAAGTAGAGTGAGCGGCACATAGTAGGTGTTCGGTAAATTTCAGTTATAATAATCATGCTATTGTTGCTGCCCTGGCCTGAGAGGTCAGGCCAACTTCCTCTAGGGGAGAGGAGCACCGAGCCCTTGCTCCTCCGGCCTGCAGTTCAGAGCGGCTGTCAAGCCACCATGCGATGGACCCCAAAGGGTTACAAGCTCTGGAGACAAAGGCCTGAGGTTCCCAGTGAAAAACCAAAGCATAAAAATAATTCGATGAGTAAGAATAAAATTCCCTCTTCTGAGGTTCCCGGGGCCAGGCCCCTCCCTGCGGCAGGCACTTCCCCTTTCCCCGTTCATGGAGGAGCCGGGCCGGGCTGACTCAGAACCGGAGCCGCGCCGCCCCCTCTCGGGGCTCCGGCCGCCTGCGAGTCTGGCAGTCGAGCGCGCCCCCGTGCGGCCGCGCGGGACACTGCAGCCCG